TGCCCCTCCCCTGCAGCCACCTGCCTGAGGGCTGGGGCGGGGGAAGGGTGGGGGGGTGGAGGGGGCTCTAGTGCGTGGGGATGGCCAGGGCCACGTGCTGTACCTGTTGCCTTGGGGCCACCCCCGGGTCTGGGTGATGTGTTCAAGCGTCAACTCCGCCTCCCGCACAGCTGAAAGCCGAGCTTGCGCTCGCAGGGACTTGCTGCGGACTGGTTTTATGGGGCTTTCCTGAATTTTAGTAGGTAACACGCACTGACCAGAAGTGATAGTTGGATGACAGATGAAATGAGGAAGTTTTGGCGAGTCCTAGGGCGCCCTGGGCCCAGGGCTCCTGTGGTTCACTGCAGGGACCTGCTTAGAAGGCGCATGCTGGCAACCCATCCCCTCTCCTGCCTCCTATGTTTTCCCTTTTTCTCTGAAAATGTTGTAACAGGAACGAGTATCAGACCTTTTTGGTTTAAAATAAACACAATTTTAGCATTAAAAAATGCCCATGTTTCCATTGAAAATCATTCATCATACCAAGAACTGGGAAGGCCCTGGCTGGTTTGGTTCAGTCGATAGAGCGTGGGCCTGTGGACTGAAGGGTCCTGGTTCAATTTCTGGTCAGGAGGGCACATGCCCAGGTTGTGGGCTTGATCCCCAGTAGGGGGCGTGCAGGAGGCAGCCGATCAATGATTCTCATCATGGATGTTTCTAGCTCTCCCTCTCTCTTCCTCGCTGAAATCAATAAAAATATAAAGCCCACAACCTGGGCATGTGCCCTTGACCGGAATCAACCCGGGACCCTTCAGTCCGCAGGCCGAGGCTCTATCCACTGAGCCAAACCAGCCAGGGCTATATATATTTTTTAAAAAGAACTGGGAAGATCTCAAATTGAATGAAAAAAAGACAATCAGCAGCTGCCAACACCCAAAGGAGAGAGGTATTAAAATTATCTGAAAAAAAATATTTTCAAGCAGCCACGATAAAAATGCTTTAACAAGAAATTATGACTTGCTTGAAACAAAGAAAAAATAAAAAGCTTTAGCAGAGAAATAGGTCTAAAGAAGAACCAAACGGAAATTTTAGAACTAAAAATATAGTAGTTGAAATTAAAGTTCAGTTGAAATGGGCTCAACAACACTATTCATGAGAAAGCATGTGAGATGGCACAAAGCAGCACTCCAATGAAAAGTATAATTTAAGTGGATTTACCTAAAAAGCAAAAATGATTGTATTTCCAATCTTTTTAGTGAACTAAGATTTCAACTCAAGAAGGTAAAAAGAGAACATGAAAATAAGCTCAAAGTATGAGGAATTATCAGTGATGAAACTAGCCAGTGATGGCGAACCTTTTGAGCTCAGCGTGTCAGCATTTTGAAAACCCTAACTTAACTCTGGTGCCGTGTCACATATAGAAATTTTTTGATATTTGCAACCATAGTAAAACAAAGATTTATATTTTTGATATTTATTTTATATATTTAAATGCCATTTAACAAAGAAAAATCAACCAAAAAATGAGTTCGCGTGTCACCTCTGACACGCATGTCATAGGTTTGCCATCACTGAACTAGACATTCATCATCAAATATTAAAAGCACAGCAATTGACTAGTAAAACTAATAAATTTAGTTCTTCAACTGGTCCAATAAAATAGACCAATCTTTGGTAAGTCTGATGAAGAAAGAAAGGAAGGGGCAGGGGAAGGAAGAGAGAAAGAGAGAGAAAGAGAAAATACAAATAAACAATATTAGGGGTTATTACTATAGATAAGGAGATTTTAACAAATGATAAAAATATAAATGTTCAAACTTGCAATAGTAAATTTGAGCAGGCATGTTAAAGGTATATTTTAGTAGAAATATCTATTACCAAGTTGCCAGAAGCCGGTCCATCCTTGCTGCTTGACACAGTCGCTGCAGGGAAGAAACATCTGCACAGCATATGTTTCAAGGGACCTGGCATATATAGCATATTGTTCTTAATATGTTTGCTCTCCTTAGTGCCATGTGTTTTAACCAAGGTCACCTCTCCGAGAAAGGTTGTTTCCCCAGGTGGGGATTTTTCCCCGAGGTTAGGGAGGGGATACAACCCCTTAACTAAGTGCCAGGCGGGTAGTTAAGCTACATAATCTTTACTCCCTGGAATGGAGATAAGAAACGCCCTAACCTTTGTAATAGAAATTGACAGGATTAAAATCGGCTGGTATAAATATAGATGTAACAAGACAATAAACATCAGATCCTCATCAGATCCTGGCCAGAACTTGGCCAGAGTTCGTGGCTGGAGATCCTGGCTAGGCTGCTGATCAACTGAAGGCTGTCTCCGTGTCATTCCTTCTTCGCCGACTCCGTCCACACCTTTGGGGACCCCTGGACCCGCTGGGGTTGGACCCCGGCACCAAGTTTGACTCAACATGAAGAAATCTCAACAGAGCAATAATTATGATAGGAATTGGAAAGGTATTCAAGGAGCTATCTATCCCCCCAAAGGCATGAGGTCCAGATGGGTTTATAGGTGAATTCCACCAAGCCTGAACAGAACGGAAAACCCCTATGAGCTCTAATTTTTCCAGAGAATATAAAAATTTCCAAATTACTTTACAAGGCCAATGTAACTCCAATAACAAAGCAGAACAAAACCAACAGAAAAAGACAAAGCCCCTCAAAAGAAATCTATGGGTCACTCTCATTTTCTTTGTTTATTTTTAACTTATGAGGCTCTATACTTTTTTTAATGTTTTTTTTTTTATTGATTTCAGAGAGGAAGGAAGAGTGAGAGAGAGATAGAAACATCAATAATGAGAGAGAATCATTGATTGGCTGCCTCCTGCAAGCCCCCCACTGGAGATTGACCAGAATCGAACCTGGGATCTTTCAGTTCGCAGGCCGACGCTCTATCCACTGAGCAAAACCGACTAGTGTGAGGCTCTATACTTTTAAAAATTAAATTTATTAGGGTGACATTGGTTAATAATAACATTATATAAGTTTCAGATATACACCTTTATAATATGGCATCTGTAAATGTTATCACAAATGGCAATATTTCATCTTTTATGGCCACATAGTATTCCATCATATATATGAACAACATCTTTGTCCAATCATTTGTTAATGGACACATATTATTTCCATGTCTTGGCTATTGTAAATAGTGCTGCAATGAACATAGGGGTACATATATCTTTACAAATAAGTATTTTCAAAAATTTTGGGTAGCCCTAGCCAGTTTGGCTCAGTGGAAAGAGCGTCAGCCTGCAGACTGAAGGGTCCCAGGTTCGATTCCGGTCAAGGGCACATGCCTGGGTTGCAGGCTCAATCCCCAGTGTGGGGCATGTGGGAGGCAGCCTGTCAATGATTCTGTCATCACTAATGTTTCTATCTCTCTCTCCTTCTCCCTTCCTCTCTGAAATAAATAAAACTATTAAAAAAAATGTAGGTAGATGCCTAGGAGAGAGATTGCTGGGCATATGGTAACTCTATTCTTAATTTTTTGAGGAGCATCCATACTGCTTTTCAGAGTGGCTGCACCAGTTTACATTACCACCAGCAATATATGAAGGTTCCCTTTCTCCACGTTCTCTGCAACATTTGTTATCTCTTGTCTTATTGATAGTAGCCATTCTAACCGTGTGAGGTGGTATGCCGTGGTTTTGATTTGCATTTCCTTTATGACTAGTGATGTTGAACATTTTAAAAATATATTTGTTGGCCAGATGTATGTCTTCCTTGGAGAAGTGACTATTCAGATCTTCTGCCAGTCAGATCTTGTGCCAATTTTTATTTGGATTGTTTGTTTT